TATATCGAAGAAAATATAAACCATTAACAACAGTCTATTAATAGAAAATTGAAATAGTATATATAGAATTTTATATCTGAATATTATTATTATTATTATAGTATTTTTAATAATAAAAAATCAAAATAATATGTACAGAATTTTATATTTAAATTTTAGTATTATTAGTATTATTATTATTATTATTATATTTTAGTAATAAAAAATAATTTAATCGAAACTTAAATCGAGGTGGGTAATGGTAACAGTGTAGGGTGTAGGTATGGTTGTGATGATGGGTGGGTGGTCCTGAACTGCGCCTCTGGCGTACATTCTCCATGAACCCATCCAAACTACCATTATTACAAAAATATTTTTCTTCATAACATAATCCTTTTCATCTACCATTTTTTTAGAGACTCAAGTAAATTACATTTACATACAAAATAATTTTGTTTCAGTAGATTTGCTTAATAAGAACGGTGTAAATTTTCTTTAAATAGTTAGCTGTATTTTTTTTCTTCTTTTTTACGTAAAAGTTTAGATATCGGTAACACGTGACCCGGCCCATGGAAGACTAGTATAATTCCATATTTAAGATTTCAGTTCAAAGATATTAATTTAGTATCGATTAATCCATTTGTTTTTTCTTTTTACAATAATTATACTAAGATTTAAATTTATTTCTTTTCTCCATATCTCAAAGTTGATAATCATCTATTAATTTGCACTTATGATAATTTCTCTTGTCTAAACATTATTTTTAATGTTACAAACTTAAACATAATATGTCAATTTTTAGGCCAATAATGTTAAAAAATTCATAATAATGAACAACATAAAATACAATATTATAGTATGTTCGAGTAAGATTTAGAAAGAATTGCATACCCAAAATCAACGAGGAATCTATTCTTGTTAGTCTTGATTAATATGAGAGAAAATTGTTTTTTTCTTAGTAGGAGTTAAAAAGGCAGAAAACAAAAAATATTTTTTTCATATGAATTGACTAATGAATTCTAATTTTATATTCTTATCGGTAGAGATTAGGGATCTCTTAACGGACTACTGAATAGTCCAATTCATCATGAACCATTTATTATAACTCCAATAAACATTATTCATAAATTAATAATAATATGTAATATAATTGATATTAACATATAAATATAATTTATTAATTAATATTAATTCATAATAATAATAATAAAATAGAGAATAATTGTATAAATAAATATATAAATATAACAAGTGAAACTGTATATATAAAAAAATCAAATGTCTTTTAATTTGTTGCAAATTGGAATATATGATAAATTCGTGTCAATTAAAAATAAAAAGCACACAAATGATGTTTTTTCATTAGTTGGTGATATAAAATTATACTAATAATATATAGAAATTAAATTATAAGTTTATTTTAAAAAAATTACATGTTTTTTTTTATAAATACTAAACAAGTAAATCTTGTTAAAATTTATAAAAATCTACCAAAGATAAAAGTAACATCTTTATACAATAAAATTTTGACATCAACAAAATTTATTTTCATGCAAATTCTTACTAATTAATCATATGTGTAATGTGTGTTTCTTTTTTAATTAAGGATATTCATGTGGAAAATTTTGATGGATTAGTATTTATTTATATCCAACTCAAAATTTTGATAGGAATATTTATTTAAACTTATACTCAGCCAAATAATATTCGAGACAAATCAATATCAACTCATTTGTAAATATAATATATCAATCATAACATTATGTCAAATTAAATTACAAAACTACATAATTGTAAAACTACAATTAATATATATATTTGTAAAACTACATATATTTGTATATATATATATATATATATATATATAAATATATTTTAAAAAATATAAAAGTG